CGTCCCCTTTTATCGCAGACTGTTTCACTAACTGGAGTTCGCCGACCTCCCGTATTGCGTATCAGTCGGAACAGTCTTTGACTATTCGCTGATGCAGCTTCTATTTCCATTTCACTAGCTACTGTTGCCCACCAGTTCTCACGGTCCTTCTTGAGGCTCTTTATGAGCCGACTTTGTAGCTGCCGCCTAACTTTATTTTGATCCCGGAAGGTCAGGACGTTCTGTTTTTGCTCCATCAGGGTTACTGACTCCTGAGATATCCAATGCCTCCGACGGGCTTGAGGCTCAGACCCACAAACATTCGCTGCGGAATGCATTGCTCGCCTAATCTGATCCCACTACTCGTCTACATCACTCCACTGGGGCGCACTTAGCTTCGGCACTAGCTCTGACTCATACAGTGCATGAACTGCTGGAACGGATAGAATGTGGTGCGAAAAAGTAACACAAGAATGTTGCAACGTGGGAGGGACTTACACAAAGACTGTGCAGAACGCAACAAGAAGCAGAGAGCTCCGTAAAAATTGGCTCGCATCCGCTGATTGGAGGATTCTAGAATAGAGCGGGGGTGGAGATGGAAAGATATCGTAGATAGGAGAAAACATGATGCATTCTTGTTCTAGATGGATGTGAACAAAAGTCTGATTTATTTGACTAAACAGAAAACTGACACCTTTGATTGTATGAGTGTAGCAGAGATCGACAAATAACCGTGTACATAGATGAGCTCAGCATTAGGCAGGGTATTTAAAACGACCCGGTACATGAAGACTGCACGAAGCCAAAAGGCCGAAACGAACTGAAATGACAGCAAATGCATTCGTTGGACCGAGAACCCAGAAGGACTTCGAAATGGTGGATAGACCTGCTCGCATCTGGCACGATGGCATAATCACATAATTGGACTCTTGTGCTATACGAATACCAATCCTAAGGTCACCGACAGTCATGACGACACAAAACGAAAAAATCAATGTTTTCTCACTTATAGCGTACATAGATAACATGGTAAGAACCTGAGAAGGATTCCCCACGTTATTTTCGATTGACATGAGTGAAAATAGCTCAGTTTTGGGAGAAAACAGACGCAAGGACCTTGTTCCGTGAGAGATGGCGAAATCCTTCACGGAAATGGACTTACTAGTACGCATGATTGCAGTGGTCAACAATCTGACAACCGGGATCATAAGTGATGAGAATCGTCCCATATCGATCATCATCTGTTCGGTGTCATTTAGTTGCGGTCCGCGTTTGTTTGCTGCGACCGAGAGCTCAGTGCACGCGAACGAGGCCAAATTCAGACTGGTTCCGGAAGCCAACAGGCGTAATGACGATGGAGTCTGATCGGTTTCACACAACTGATCAATGGGGGAGAGAAATAAGTCGATTTGATCGCAGTATGCGTTGACTGCAGGAACTGAGAAAGAAGTGACAACCCTAGAGTTCATCGTTGTGACCCAGGGGGTTTACCGATCCCCTGCCTAGATTTCCTAAAGAAGAATATTTTAAACTGTTTAAGAGTGGACTGAGCGTCATTGGCCGCGCCTCTTCAATCCCGCTGAAGGAGTTAGTAATTAACCTGGGCAAACATTTTTTAAATGCATGTGAAAGGTTAGCACATGAGATTCCTATCGATTCCATACATCCGCTAAACACAGATTCAACTTTCTACTGCTCCCATCCGTCAACTAGATCTCAATACCGTTGTGCTTCCTCTCGATTAAACATATATACCGTACCCTTTTTAGCACGCATTCCAGTTAACAAAGAACAGGTTTTCACAAACTTCAAAGTTTTCGACTTAAAATCTTTTTTCTCTCCCTCTCTCCGATTTCATAATATTTTCAACTGAAATGCTAACAGAAGTTATAATTTATATAATGAATTCCTCGTGTAAATGAGGCGTGAGCTGAAAAGCTGGGAAGCACCAGTGGACAGCTGTTTCGACCTGGTTGGGTCTCAGCAGCAGTGTGAATCCATCGACCCAACTTGGGATCGAAGTTATATATATATATATATATATATATATATACCACCGGCTTGAAAACAAGCATGGTGCCAACGCAACAACAATGATCGAAGTTATAACTACAATTACGCGATCCTTTGAGAAATATAAAGAAAAAGTTCATTTATTTTTATTCGTTGAAGCTTCAACTCAAAAATTACAATCGTAATGTTAAACACGGGTACTGAACTCGTTTAAAATCCCTGTTACACCAGGATAAAGAAAAACCATACCTGAGACAATAGTTTGCCAACCACGTCCAGCGAAATCAGTTGCGGTGCACGGGGTCGTAAACCTGTGGTCGAACTGGCACCGCCAAAACGAATTTCTTCTACACCACCCAGGGTACCGTTCAATTCAGAGGTCATGGACAGTAGCATTGTGGAGCTTGTTGACTGGGTCAGTGCATACATTAATGGCGCCCCACTCGTAGGGCTCACAAGCAATCCCAGGCTGATCTCCACAACTTGACGCCATGCCTCAAGGGCGGCTTGTTTCCCGGCACCGAGGGTAAGCCGATGGTCGTTTCGAGATTCGATCCAACGCCCCAATTGAACTAAATCTTGTGCCAATGCGATCATCTGCTCGCGATCTGTTCCAGAGTTAGAATTTATACCATAATCTGGCAACTGCGCTATCCGACCGGTTTGCTCTCGGGCAGCCCATGCGAACAGAGCAGCCACATCGTCCACCGAAGTGGCGCCACCGGATGGAAGACGTGTAGCCAGTAGTTTGGCGTAAACACGATTGAAAAAGATCATGGGATCAATTAGGGTTGACGCCTTCCGTGTAGCCATTGATTCCGATTGCAACAGCGGGCAGCCAAGTTCGCAATCCGTGATCAACTACATGAAAAAAAGAAAACATTCAGATTATTAAATTAAGCCCAAATGACGAATTACGGGGCATGTACAGAGAACGAGAGAGCGGATGTGCAATGGGTAAGATTGCAAGTATAGAATGTGGTTGAAGTGTTGGTTTCGCTAGACGACATCATCAAATAGCATCCGTATCTGAACATACTACACGTGGAACTCAAAACAGTTGCACCAATTGATGAATCTCGTCAACAGCTTTGCATGACTTTAGGACGCCACATGAATGGGTACTGTTAACCATTGGATTTACATACATACATACATACATACACACACGGATCAGTTCGAAAGGTGTAGAAATTTCGGTGGGGGGATAGGTGGGTGGGCAATATCTAAAGTACTGTGCATGGTCAAAACAGAAAGCAAGAAGTGATTAAATAAAGCAAAGAGATCCGCACAAATTACTAACCCGGGACGTCAGGGTCAGTGCATACTTCAAATGAAGCCGATTTACATTTACATTAGCTTTCTGGGAGTGATTGAGATCAAACGATTGGAATAGTCTATGGTGAACTCCATGCGCTAAAGTTCGAGAANACCACCCAAATCTAGTGGTAGGCCGTTTCGCCGTCGTCCGATTCATTAATTCAACTATCCTACTGGAGTCACGGAGTTCGCAACATTAATTTTCAAGACACTAGAGTGAGCAACTATTAGGAGTTGGTAATTACCATTATATACATAATCGTCCACCTTATTCGCATTTAGGTACGAACTCCGTCGATGTTCAACGATGGGACCATTACAGTATGGGAAAAATGAGAAACATTTATCTCGGAATATTATTTTTCTTTCTGATTAGCTCATTCGAATAGCTGCAATTTGAGTACCTGTAAGGCGGTGGTGGCCCGCAAGGTAACATCACCAAATTATCACCTCGGGGGACGTGTGTTTGAATCCTACCACCACCACCGCCGCCTGGCTTTCCCCATTATGTATTGTATGGCCACTTCCCCCGTCCTGAAAATTGTATCTCCGGATAATTCAATAAAAGGAAGTAAAAATGAAAAGAAAAAAATACGCACAGCATATGAGCCCCAAGCAGGACGAAAATCTTCACTCAGTAAATGTAGGGTGTATGCAGTGGCATGAAACAAGAGAGTGGAGAGGGAAACGATAAATCGAAATACGGAGCTTGTGTTCCCTATTGCACACATACAAAGAGAGAGAGAGAGACAAGAAAAGATCAAACTGAAGTTTACACTCACTTCATCCACAACCCACGCGTCAAGAGCACGTAGATCGAAGGCCTCTGGACCGTTCATGCTGGCGTAGAGCTTTAAACGATGCAACAGTGCGATTGCATTGGATTGAACTGAAAAACAAATCAGATGGGCCCCTTGAGAAAAACATTACGGCGAGCGTGGTACCAATCAGGCTTCAGCGATTTAGTGGCTTCTCACCGATGTCAACAAGTAAAGGGTTTCATAGGGTGGCGCGTACCGGATAACAATCACATATATACAGTAACAGGGTAACAGAGAAAAAGAGATTGGATTCAAGAAACAAACGATGAATTAGAGTTATGATCATCTTACCAGTGGTGAATTGTTCCACTTCAGTAACCAGCAGCTCTGAAAGTTAGGAAGCGAAGGTATGAGAGTGTATCAAAAAATGAGGAATATGCATTTGGAACAAACACAAAATTAGGCAACCAACACAGAAACCTAACACTGAATGCGCAGAAAACCAGATTCAACGGAAAACGCGAGACCGAATCATGTATGCGCGTAGGAGCGGGTTACCTGGGGCTTCCTTCCTTACGACGATCGGAGAAGTCTTCAAACTTCATTGGACAACTACCGCCCGCCCAAGCTGGGCAACCCCAGCGAATAAGGTGTTGTCCCGTCCGCATTCCGCGTGTCTCATTGCGTGCATGAGGCTAAGGGCTGATGCCGAAAGGCGGACCGACAATCAACGCATCAGCGAACAACACACTTAACCGTAACCCGATGGCCTTGCGCGACATGTCTCTAGAGGCTCCCATACGGGTGCTTCGTTCACACCACATGTCACAACACAAATATAAATTGTAAAATCCGTAAAACAGTGAAGATAAGGAAATAAAGGCAAAACGATTGAATATCTAACGCGCAGGACAGACAAGAGTGCAAATTTCACTTACCGCCCCAGAAAAGCTTCAATAATTTGACGGCATACGAACAGTGATTACCCGTTGCAGCTTTGCGGATTTCCATCGCCAAGATACGTAACATCCAATTGATTCGATTAAGGGACAGCAACTCCAGCACTAGAGGTCGGGCAAGAAAACATTTATAAAGCACGAACAGTGGGGCAACAAAGAATCAAAGAAATCGCAACCGTATTTCTGGTGCATCAATTTGAATCAGGGATTCTGAATATAGTAACAGAAAACTGGCAGTAGGAAGATTTGTAGTCACTACGCAGAATATCACTGACTTTCGTGACCTACATTGCCGGTCAACAGCTTTGATCAAAGTAACCTTTCGACTGAGGTTCGCTTCTTCCTCATTTCTTAATCTTAAGGGATACGCTCTCATCATCATCATCATCATCATCATCATTGTACAACGTAATACAGTGAGGCGAACTTCACTGATCGCTGTTAAACTCATAATGCATACAAGATAAGCAAGAATGTGTAAGGAGAACAAGGATTAGGACTATTTATGGGGACGGGAAAAGAAGGCGAACTTCTATGGTCAACACAGAGTACACAGCGCAACAGTGCATACATACAATTTCCAGTATTCTGGTCTGATAAGAAGTGACGGCATGATCGCCATTGCTGTCGGTTCGCAGCCATGATCTTCAGTGTCTCCAACCATGCGGTTCCGGAATCTTTTGGACCCCAACCCGGAAGACGAGAGAAANTTACTAACTCCCTTAATCTCCATCCCACTTGGGCCAGACTACGTAAGCATCGACTGTCGAACACTGCTAAACGACGGGTGTCTTCTACCCGCAAATTCAAGTTCTCATAATCGTAAAGTAGAACTGATTGTACGGTGGCACAGTATACGCGACTTTTCAACTTTAGTGACACGTCACGTCGCCGTCACTGGTGTTTTAGTCCTGCGTACGCTGCTCGAGCCTTGGAAATGCGGGTGGTTATCTCCTTCGATGCGATACCGTCGTTGGTCACGCAGCTACCTAAGTACGAGAAGCAGTCAAATTCAGCTAATTCCTGACCGTCTAGTTTCAGAACAGAACTCGGAGAAACCCAGTCCTATACCATCACTTCGCACTTTGAAGGTGCAAAGCACATGCCGAACAGAGCAACAGAACTTGTTAGCCCATCAAGTGCGTTTTGCGCGTCCTCTATACGTTCGAACAGGCAGACAATGTCATCGGCGTACCCTAAATCGCACAGCTTTTCTCCAGCTGCCCATCCAAAGCCTATATTTTGGAAACCACTTAGTGTGTTCTCCAGTATTTCATCTATGACAAAAGGTGCAGAGCAGTGCAATGGGATGCTGCTTCAGGCACTGGTTTGTCAAAGCACTTAAAGGGTAGAATACGAATAGCAAGTCTCAACTGGAATTCCATATGAGACTAAATGGTAGGTGTTCTTTTTCTTTTCTTTTTTACTTCCTTTTATTTTCACATAAACAATGACAAATAATTTTAAGGAAAAGATAAGCGGCCAATCAAAGGGCTGATATAAAACATTTGTAGAACTG